TAAACGTTAAATGTAGCCTACTTCACGTTTGTGTGGTGCCGCTGTTCCCTAGAGAAACACGGTAACCACATTCACATCTTGATTGTTTTTTTTTTTACATAGAAAACAAGGATTTAACAATAGTTAAGCTTAATGCATCACCTAGACAAACAAAACCAGTTCAATCTAATGGACATTTTATTTTTAGATTTTTTTTTTGTGAGCCGCTGATGTCATTCTATACTGTAAGTTCTTGGTTACTTATCAAAGTATCTCTGTGATAGACTGACAGCATGCCTCCTATGGCTATCCAGACACATGGTGAAACAGATATTGATACAAATTTTGCGTATGTATTTAAGTGAGGGAGAAATTACACTAGGACCTGGGATTGTTTCTATGCAACTTGAGATATATGAAGTAAAAATGTGCACTAAATCCAACACAATCTAGACTGTACTGGTACACATTCTGTAATGCTTAGGTAGGTACGTACGCTTTGATAAATTTGATTTTTTTTATGTGTCTCCAGTTTTAATTTGTTTGCTACCACCAATTCTTTGTATGCAAGCTACACATCTGTTTATGCACGAGGCTCCTAGACCCTAGAGGGAGTGAAGGAATGAGGGAATTAAAACCACTGACTGGCCCCTAATCTAAATCCAAAACAGCCTTCCTGGGACATCACATAGGGTTCATCAGACCCAATCCGGTTGCACCCCAGAGTGTCAAGAAGCTCATTGATACATTGGTTGAGAACCAAGAGGTCACACTCAAAGTCACTTTTTGTCATCTCATTAGGAACATGCCCTGATGGCATGCATACCAGCACATGGGAGCCATCAAGTGATGTAAGACATTTCCGTCCCCAAATGCCATAGCAATATGAATGTAATTTGTGGCTTTATTGAAATTCATATCTTGTCTGTTTTGAAGGTGCTCCTTTACTTTTGTTTTTGAGAGGTTTTAATGTGAAGAAAGAAAGAGGGAGAGAGAAAATAAACTTTTAATAGGTTTACAGGGGAGTACTCATCAAAAGCGGGACTGGAATAAAATATATTGTTTTGTAATTTATTTTGAAGATCATCTAATATAGATATAAAATATAATATTAATCACACATTGATTATTAATTCAAAAAGTAATAGTTGTCGAGGTTTTGCATGTCATAGTGAGGCCTTTCAAACCCTGTTTCATTATCAACATCTCTGAATTCAAAACTATATAAATGCTAATTTAAAAATAGTTTCTTCTCAATTATTTTTTAGCTTCATTTTTAAGAATTGAGTAACTCCTATTGTAGTTTGGAGCTTTATGTTTAAGGTACCTCTGTTTCAAATGGGGGTGCTATAAAGCCTAATTAAAAACTTTTGTAAGAGATGTTATCTGATAGTTGGGGTTTAATAGAGGTGGATTTATATCTACCTTGCAAGATTATATCTACCTCACAAGATTTCCTGGATGTCATATGCTCAACTCAAAAAGCAAGATTAGATTTTTAAATCCAAAGCAATTTCAGATTTAACATCAAATTTTTCAACTAAATTATACAGTATCCTATGTCCACATGTAGGGATTTGCATGTTCAGCAAGCTCCTAAAATTGAGCTTAAAGGTATAGTGGAGGATGTTATTTTTCTGGATAGATCATCAAAAGAAGTGGTCCTCCTAATTGTCAATTATGCTGCTGATATGTTTACATTAGGCCGTCCTACGTGCTAATCCCCATTTTCACTTACCCGTGGTGAGTCTGACATAGTTGAAAAATTGCAAATCTTCTTTTGAAAAGTATGCTTGTATGAGCGATGCAAACAGCAACTTTTAAACAGAGTGCGCATGAGGAGAAATGGGCTTGTGCACGCTCTCGCACAAGTTTCACAGACATTCCCTCTCAAGAGCCAGTACAAGGTTGCGCATGTGACTTTTTTTTTTCAGTGTTTTCAAAATATTTAAAAAAATCCTCCACTATACCTTTAAGTTGTCCCTTTAAATGACACTATGAAGTAGCTATTCTATGGTAACTACAAATTTATTATAAAAATTTTTCAATTTTTTTTTTTTTTTTTGACTGCCTTCCTTTATTTCTGTGTCTACAATTCTTAACCTCTGACAACAGCAACATTTCCAGTTTTGTACAGATCAATAAGTCAGAGCCAGTGTGGAGTGTCTGCTTGAAACTCTTATTATTTCAATTGGATGCTCAGAACTGCAAAGCACCTAACCCTCCATGACATTACAACTGAGTTTCTACTAAATATAAATACCAAAGTTTGAGTTTAGAATTAACATAGACTATTATGAAGTATGTCTGTTTATAGAGATACTCTAAAGAATATTCAAAGGCAATCTGAATGGCAAGAGTACAAAAAAAATTTACAAACTAAGGGAAAAAAAACAGCACAGTATACCCAATAATATGTTGTTTGGGCAAGTGTATTAAGTAGTTATTTATTTACCAAATGCATACATATAAAAACTAAGATAAACCAGTAAGGTTTTAACCTCTTATTTAGTAAAAAAAAAAAAAAACTTCATAGGATACAACTGAGAAACCTGAAGAGAGATGAAATGCTTTGATTCCCTTTAATCTTCTCTGCTCTAAGAAGCGTTTTAAATAAGGTGTCACTGTTAGTAACTTGCTCCACTTCCATGTGTTTTCATATAATTATGGGACATTTCTTTCCATTGAGGCTGAATTTAACGATAACAGAGTTAACAAAGCTGCCTGTGAAGAAACATTTCAAAAATAAATATGAAATAGTTCCTCAATTAAAGCCTTTTTTTGCTTCAGAAACATAAAGCTGTCATGTCTAATAAAACCGCTGTCAAGGTTGGAGAACACAACTATATTATCCATGTTGACTGTATTTTTCACTTTCATTCTTCAGTAATTAAGGATGAAGTACTTAAAGTTACAGTTACTAAAAGGAAAGGGAAAGCTTTGTTTTTTCCAGGTTGCAGGGCTACCAGTGTTCATTTATATCTGTTTTGTTTTTACTTTTTTTATATGGGGGGGGTGTTACATCCTAAATGCAAGGAATACATTTAGCTGATAAAACTGCTGGATTAAATGAATATGTCCCTCGGTAGGGACTGAGAAACCAACTTGCTAAAGTGCCCTTCATCAAAACGTGTCTGGAAAAGTGCCCTTATGCTTCGTATTATTTGATCATTGTTGTGAGTGTTCCGTTTAATTTGTTATAACTCCCTCTTCATAAACCGTAATTCTTTCAGCTTCGCTAAAAGCGCTCTTTATTTAATTTCATTTCCTAGCATGCCCTTGAGTGAAGCACAGTGCTTATCTAACTCCACCAAGCTGTTTAATCATCTCATTTTGTTTTTCCCCACTTTGAGTCACAGACTGACCTACTGACCCTTTCAGTTTCAAGGGCAATGATATCAGCCATGACCAAAGCACTTTAAAGTTGTAAATTGTAACAATTCCTTTCATTTAGGGTAGTAAGTTTTCAAAAGACAAATTAATTTGGAACTGGAAAGTGAAAAAAAAAAGGATTCAAGGCTAAAATAGATTCATCCCTTCACCCAGTTTAATTATGTAGCAAGGTAATGTAAGGTAAAACTCTGTGTCCCCAGTGCAATCCTATTTACAAAGAGTAATCAAAACAAAGAATATTCATAGTAATAATACTCCTGTCATTTCTGGTCCAAAGCTATCTAATTTGATCAAAATGCAGGAAGAGTAATGTTGTTGATTGGCTGAGCCAAGGTCCCTACTTGATTCTTATAAAAAAATTTTGATGGAAGTTTAGATAAGGATTACCTTTAGGAGGCGCTCTAACCAGTGGTAGCAAAAATATGTAAAATGCTTCTCTGCATTTATATGAAGGGTTGGTTTGTTATTATATCAATAAAGTTTTTTTGTTTTTTTTCCATACTGATTATTGAAAGGGATACGTATATAATGAATAAAGTGTAATTTTTGCACATCTCTGGTGTTGCTGCTATTTTTCACCTATCTATTACTGTAAAAATTTCCATAGCTGTATATTGATTATTTATTCTCCAAATGAACAGTATTTATATTGTAAAAATGTTGTAGAGTACAGTATTTTATTCGCTTACATTTTTTAACTCGGTCTCTTATTCTATTTTTTGTATGCACTTTTTTAAGGTATAATTTGTGTGACCACTTTTGCTTTAACCTTTTGCTGCTGTAACATCACATTTTCCCCATGGTGGGACAATAAAGGGATTTTCTATTCTATTCTACATCTATTTTCATTACAGAAATTTAAATATAAAGAGATATTTAGTTTTTCAGATGTTATACTTTCCTGGTGTTTTTTTTTTTTTTTATCTTTGGTGAAAGACATGATTCATTTCGTATCAGAAATGAACTGCATGTATCAGAGATAGAGTTAATACTGGACTTTACACTTCCAGTAATTTTGGTATTTGATGAAACCACTGTCTGTAAATTATATGGAAGTTGTAAATTAACCTACCTTCCACCAACTCACTTTATAATCAGACATTTGACAGACATTTGAATTGAGAAAGCTTCCTGGAGAGGTGGCGAAACGTCTTTACATCTTGGAAACCAAGTCCAGTGGATTTCTTTTAACTTTTATGGAATCACTTTATAATCAGTTTTGAAACACACTTGAATCATTTTTTCCCCTTCCAACTAACTTTTATTTGTCAAAAACTGTACAACTTGTACATTGTATAAGGTTGCAAAAACATTATATAATAAAAATCTGAGTGAAAGGGGTGCAATTTACATGTGCTATATGCACTGTGTTTGTAAGCTAATAAAGGTTTGGTTGAAACTAGTGATGCTAATTAACTTCTTTGCATCAGTATTCCTGAATAAAAAAAAAGTTCTGAAACCAAAGGCCTCTGAAACTTACCTTTTTAATAAAATTTGTTCATCGTGCGTTAACTTGTGTAAATATATAAAAAAGCTTTCCATTTGAATATTCAATAATTGTGTAGATGCATGTTAGTTCACCACTGTCCTTGTTCAAGCATAACTAAAAACTGTTTTTTAATTTTCAGGCTAGAGTCCCCAACTCGGACCCTGACGCTAGAAGCTCCGAGAGGGGTTGAGGTCAGTGCTGGAGTTGGAGACTTCACAGCTTCTTGCAGAAAAGACCTCCTCTTGCAGTCCTCAGATGGAGAGGTCAGTCTGTATTTATATTTCTTGTTTTGGATGTAGTGTAAGTAGGGTGAATAAGGCCATGTGAAAGAAAATTAGACAGCTAAGACACCCGTCATACCAGCAATGTTGAAAATATAGAGAAAAAAAATCTTGATGTTTACTCTACTGTGGGTGTTGGCTGTAGATTCTGTTGCACTCCATTGTAGTGGGCCAGCTTCATTAAAGTACCTTATTAAGCTAATGAGCGTTATCAATCCAAGTGACCTTGTCCTCCTTTCCTCCCCTCCTCCTCTCATCACTGCTTTCTTGCTCTCTTCAATTTGGGAGAAGTGACTTCATTAAAGTTGGTTTGATGAGGTTCCCTGTCAGTTGTTGCTGCTGTGTGTGTGTTTGTGTGTGTGTCATTGTTAGCCTGTTATCTTACTGTCAAGCTCATCGAATAGCAGCCCGCCACTTTTTGTGAGCACAAAAGCAGACTTTGCCATTATCTCTATGTGTGTTCATAAGGGTGTGAGTATATGTGTGTCAGCCTGCCATATTGCTTGTCCACTGGAGCATAGTGTGCCATTAACTTAGTAATTAACAGAAGAATGACCCCCCACCCCCCAGCCTTGAGTTGCACGCATTATCATTGTCAGTCACACAGAAAGTGTTGATTTTTTTTTTTTTTGTCTTAACACACTGTCAGATTCTTACACACAGTAATGCAGTAGTGAAATACACCCAACCCTCAAATATCCATTCATGAAACCTTCCAGTCTGCTCTAATATATGAGACCTGTAACTTCCTCACCAGACCTTTTCCTATGGAACGAATCTAAAATGCCCCGATCACAGATTTTCCTAAGGGTATCCTCATTAACCTGTTATGTTTAAATCCAGAAACAAATTATTGCAATACCTTTACATAAGTTCTTTGTCTGAAATTCAGATGATAGTAATAATAGGAAGAACTATCCATCCATCCATTATCTGACACGCTTGTCCCGAGTGGGGTCGCAAGGGGTGCTGGTGAAAGGAAGAAGTATGATTTCAAAACCAAACCGTGCAAACTCCTTTAAAACAAAGGTGCATTTTAGTGCATTGAGTAAAATTATGGAAAAGTTTGCATTATGGGTTAAAAATGCTCCACTATAAATCAGTTTAAAAGACTTTATCAGAATAAAGTTATTAATCTATCTTATACAGTTCTGAATGAATAATTGAGAATGATATATTGTTTGCTACACAGAATTATTGAGACAGTACAATATTTTTTCTTCTTCCTGTTCCCTTTTCACTTGTGTTTATAAATGGTGCCACAGAATATGTGTATGGTAATTACTGATTAAAATGTTTAACTGAGTGAGTGAATAAATAAATTGATTGATTTAGTATACACTTTTATAATTCACAATATGTGTGTATGTGATAGTTAATAATGTATTTAAAATGATTATATTGTAAACACTGTAGACATTTTTTTTACACTGTTTAACAGTTTTCAAAACAAAATACTTCCCTTTTTTACTATTGAACTGAACATTGCCAACATGATTTCATTGTACTGTTCAACCGAAATAATAAAAATAAAGTTTTTATCTGCCCAATGTCCACTACAGTAACAGTTTGACCAGGAGGTGAACCGGTTCCCTTGGGAATAGTTAAAGGTCATCACACTTTCTCTAAGGGTGTCTCAGCTACTTATGGAAAACAACTTAATGTTCGCTAATTCTAGCGACTTTACAAGCAGTGTTCTTTTTTAAAAGTCAACTATTAACAGTCTGATCTATTTCATTGCATACCTATAGCCAATAACTGAAGGTGATTGTAGGAACAACATATTTGAAGCTCTGAGTTATTGCCTTCTACATCAAGAAAATCCATCTTCTTCCAGAGTCCCTCTCTCTAGCTGCTCCTTTGTTAACCAGACAAGATTTATAGTGAAATTCAGGCTTAAAAGTAACATTTCACAGAAAATGTTATAGTGCCTTGATATTTAAACAAAATCTGTGAATAACTCCAAGAAAAATTATAATAAACTAGATCAATCAGCTCAAACTCTTATATAGTTAGTATTTTTTTCATAAGAGTGCAAGATCCTGAGCGCAGCTGCGCTGAAAACAGGTTCTCAAGAAAAGACTCAAGGCTGAAAGAAAATTCCTGTGTAGCCTGCTCTCCAAACAATAAGTGTTATTTTGCATTTGTTCTCCCCCCTTATCATACCTCCCCTGGATGTTATGGTGGAAGGGCCGAGGAGAATTGCTAAATTGTTGTTGACATTAAAGAAATTAATTAATTGATTGAATTGTAAAAGCTACAAATGTAATTTTAAAAGACCTCATAATGCCTTGTTTTCCTGATAGAACAAGATATAGCCTACAGAGTTCTTGGGATTAAACATGCTTTTACCAAATATTAAAACCTCTATATATCTCAAAATATCCAGCATTTAGTTCGACAATCTTATTTTTTATTGGACTGCTTTATTAAACTAAGAGAAACCTGGACTTACCCATTCTAATCTGTTAGGTCGATCTTGGAGGTTCTGCCGAGTTTCTTTCTTTAAAAATAACCTCAAGGGAAATGTTTTCATCTTAAATGCAAAAAAATCGTTCCATTGATATGACTATAAAATGACTGCCAAGAGCAGTGTTTTTGACAATATGATTTTTTATTATCTGTTCACAAGTCTGTGATTCATTAGACACAATATCATCTACACATACACTACCGTTCAAAAGTTTGGGGTCACATTGAAATCTCCTTATTTTTGAAGGAAAACACTGTACTTTTCAATGAAGACAACTTTAAACTAGTCTTAACTTTAGAGAAATACACTCTATACATTGCTAATGTGGTAATTGACTATTCTAGCTGCAAATGTCTGGTTTTTGGTGCAATATCTACATAGGTGTATATAGGCCCATTTCCAGCAACTATCACTCCAGTGTTCTAATGGTACAATGTGTTTGCCATTGGCTCAGAAGGCTAGTTGATGATTAGAAAACCCTTGTGCAATCATGTTCACACATCTGAAAACAGTTTATCTCATTACAGAAGCTACAAAACTGACCTTCCTTTGATCAGATTGAGTTTCTGGAGCATCACATATGTGGGGTCAAATAAACGCTAAAATGGCCAGAAAAAGAGAACTTTCATCTGAAACGCGACAGTCTATTTTTGTTCTTAGATGATTTGTCTATTTAATTTCTGAGTTCTTACAGTCGTTTCAAACAGAATTCTTATGTTTCATATTATTATTCATATAATATGAATATCACCTCTTCACTGCCCTGCATGTGCATCGATGTTTTCATTTAGCATCAATTTAATTAGATTGTTTATCAATTAATCAATGTGATTGATGTATTGTATTGTAACACCCCTCTCATAAACACCCTACAGCTTGTAACAAACACCCTGACCTTCCACAGTTTTCTGACCCACTGAATCACCACTACTCACAGTTAAATATTTATAGTATTGTTACAATATAGATGTTACATTTTATCGATATATGTGGAAAGACGGAAGGACGATGGACAGACAGGCGGATGCATGGATACTACCTTTTCCCTCTGGTTTAGTTTTTTGTTTTAATGTGCTTTTTTCACTTTATTCCTTTCATCCATGATCTCTTTCAGTTGCAGTTTTTCCATCATCTCTGCATCAATAGCTGGCTCCCCGCAGTTTGGGAACAGTAACATGCAGCGCAGTGTAGGCCCAAAGGTTTAGGCCTACAACGAGGCTTGATGTGATGAAAGGCTTGAGAAAATTAAGGATTTATGGTTCTCTGCTTCTCAATCATGATTCCCTTTTCCACAGTACTCTTCAACCAGAAACAAAAACACTCTTATGATCACCAAGACACAGCTTCATAAATGCCTTATCAGCATGGGTAATTTATTCCCCAGAGGCTCAAACTAACATCAATAAGAAACCAAAAAAAAATCTAAATTTGTAAAGATTGCATCCATTGGTGTATTGAATGTTTTTTTTTGGACGTTTAATGGTGTGGTGAAAAAACATTAGACTTTCACTGATATCAATATACCAGATATGTTATCTATTTTTGTTTATTTCAGAAAATAAGGCTGGATACTAAAACATCTCATCTTTTACCTACAAGCTAATGCCTCAGTTGGATAAACTGCCAAGATACTGATACAACATCCTGTAATGTTGTAGCATCTGCTGAAAAACAGCCACAAATTATTCATTTCTTTATCAAAAAAACTGAAGTTAATAAACCTAGAGATGTAAAAATAAAATCATAGGATTTGGATAAGAATTATCTGATAACTGGCCAATAAAAAATTAATCTGCATTTAACCTATCCCAGTGACCATTGTGGGGCTAAGGGTATTGGCCAGGAAACCCAAGTGACATGTTGTGAAATATGAACTTCAACCCTTCTCAGAGTGCAGCCATTTGACTCTTTGAGATATTGTCCGAGGTTTATTGATCATTTAAATTATGTAATGGTCCTTAATGCTATATAGATTTAATGGGCTGAGAAAATTATCTTTATTTACATAGAAGACTCCTACATGACTGCAGAGAAAGACTATTCCCTATAAAACATAAAAACTAATTCATAAAAGAGCATGGATTCTCTATTAGTTCTCTTTTTAAGAATTTTGCTGTGAAGAGTTAATTGTTGCATTTTTGGTTTCAATTTTTCTTTAATATGCTAATCCTAAAATGTCAAATTAGGGCATTCTACTGTACACTGTGGAATCACTGCTGCCACCCTCTACGGAGAACTGATTGTTCCAGGGGTGGTGAATTACATCCACATGGATGTGCTGGTGAAGATTCTCTGTCATCCAGGTCAAAGTCACTCCAAAAAAGTAAAAAAAAAAAAAAAATCACTGAACTTTGTTTTCCAGTTTGAAGATGTTTCGCTTCCCATCCAGGAAGCTTTTTCAATTGAAAATGTCAGAAATAGCATTGATTTCGAGGCTTTATAGCTTTATAGCCAAAACAAGGCTTTACTTTTTGGTCCACTCTATAAAGCCTCAACGCTATTTCTGACATTTGAAATTAAAAAAGCTTCCTGAATGGGAAGTGAAACGTCCTCAAACTTG